GATTTTCCTTAGGCTGGGGTAGGGACGCGGTACGGCCACGGGCCCGTCGCAATAAGCGGGTTTTCAGCAGAACTAGCCAACAGGTTGAGAAGTTTCAAGTGAGATGTCTCAAGCATTGTCGCCCTTTTACAGTGGGAAAAAAAAAATGCATTCTAGGCTTTTGCAATTAGGCATTAGGAGTTATTGTGCCGTGTAAAGCCTGTTGTTCCCTGCTATCTTGTTCAATTTGCCTCCAAATCGCGCCAAAACCTCGTCTTGTGCGTTCTTGTGGGTTATGCTTGATCTCGTTTGCAACAATTGCGTCCACGCGTTGGTCCTCAGCCCTTGACCAGTCGATATATGCTGTCATTTCTTCCTTAGTCCATTTACGCGGTTTTCCTGTTGTTTTGCATAATTGGCCCATCTCCTTCCAATCGAGACACCAATTATAATCCGCCTTCTTGTACCGTGGTGGTAGGCCCATCGCCTTACGATATAGCCGGTCCGTTCGTTTGCTTCTATGAGACTGACAATCATACCATTTACGTCGAGAAGCGGTATATCGCCTGTAAATGGCCTCTGGTGAATCATATCTATACTGAGGTGATGCTTGCGGTGATGTTTGCGGCGACATATCTTGTGATACTGGCTGTGAAGATGAAGCAGCATTAGCAACCTCAATCACTGACTGTGCTGGTGATAATGCCCGGTGGACTGCTTGCGGCTGTGATAATAATTGATCATCTGCTCGTCCTACTATCTGTTCTGTAGTTTGTGATGTCGTTGTTATATCTGAGGCTGGCTCAACAACTGCTGGTTCCGAAAGCAGTCCTTGATAACGGTTAGGACATGACTTTGAGACTCGGGTATGCCCAACGCCTCCACATGATGAGCACTTTGGCGGTCGCCTTTGATGATTAACTTCCTCGAATGCGCTTGCACATCGCTGCGTGCTTGATTCAGCAACCCGGGGATTCTCTTTTCGCCTCTCAATACGCTGAGGCTCGATAAGATGGATTGGCTGACCGTCGCGTTTGTAGTGCCATTGGGTGTGGAATTCTTCAAGAGAAAGAGGCTGCTTTGCGTCAAGTAGTTCCTTTATTCTATGAACGCAAGGTAATCCGTAGGATGGAGTAAATTTGCCGGTGCATGGTCGTAATGCGGGGGAGTCATCCTTATAAATTAATTCTCTTTGTTCGTCAACCTTTCTAAGCGCCTCGAATGACACCCAGCCCCGCACAGCACTATATAAACTTCCTGATAACCCGAGAGGCATTTGAGTCTGTTGGTAGGATTGATGATAAGTGAGCTCATATAGCTGGTTCAGGATAGCGTGCCTGATCGTACGCCAGGCTTCAAATAAGTCCAGTTGTGAGGTCTTGAGGTACGCTTTAATAAGGGCATGGATACCTTCAACACGTGAGGTAACCACGTTGCCAAAATGAGCATGGAGATCAACCCAAGCCTTGACAAGCTTCTCTTTATATGGTTCAAGCCAAACTTCTTTAATGTAGGCAACTTCTTCAACGTGGTCCGGGATATACTTTTTCTCAAATGCTGCAAGTCGATCTTTGTAGTCTGACTCTGTGGAAGAGCTAATAATACCGTGCCACCCTGTATAGAACTCTTTCCAACGTGACGATACCTCTTTATCGGTTATTTGTATTGACGATAGTTTCGCAAGCAGTCGCTCTTGTGCTGTAAATATTGGGAGGCAATGGGCGAGAACTGCCTTATTGGCATGCCAGAGGCAAAGTAGTGACACAGCATTGCAAAATACAAGCTTTGATGCATTTATACACGCAAGACATCGATCAGTCAATATAACAGATGGCAATCTTATGTTGCAGGATGTGTAAAGAGATCGAAGCCGGCCCAACACCCATTCGTAGTCATCTTCTGTCTCGCCACTTAGAAAGGCAAATGCAATGCAGAAAGACCGTTGGCATGCATCAAAGCCAATCATTTCAAACAGTGGCATGTTATATTTATTGGTCTTGTATGTGCAATCCAATAATAGCACATCTGGATATGCTTGAAGATATGCAAGAGACTGAGGATGAGCAAAAAGGACAGCAGTGACACGTCCATTATCATCGAATTGGAGTCTGCTCCTGTCGGGCAAAATCCACTGC